TATTATAAGAGTTGCTCGGCGTTTCGATGATGGTCTTACAAGTGATAAGGTTTTACGGGTTTTTTATGAGGTAGTACCAGGTGTAACTTCCTTGTAAAACCTTAAAGTACCTTGTGAAACCTTTTAGAATACATTGTGAAACCTTACAAAACACTTGTAAATACCTTGTAAAAAACCTTTAAAATACCTTGTAAATTTTTCCCGCCAAAAATTTTCCCGCCAAAAAAATTTCGCAAAAAAAATTGCGGAATCACTTTTCCCGCAAAAAAATTTTTTTGGCGGGAAAATTTTTTGGCGGGAAAAATTTTTACGGGAAAATTTTACAAGGTTTTTTAAAGGTTTTTACAAGTGTTTTGGCGGGAAAATTGCGGGATCACTTTTCCCGCCAAAAAATATTTTGTATTTTGTGGACCTAATTTTGTTTCAAATAAGGGTAAAATGGTCATTAAAAATTAAAAGAGGACAAACTTAAAAATGGACTCTCAAATGGGGCATTTTTGAAAAGGGGTATTGAAAAAGGGGCATTTTTAACAATTTCTCTAGAAAATGTTTGTTCTCAACTGAGTCAATACTATTTTCAAAGTCTAGAAACTTGTTTGTTTCTTAATGCAAAAACATAAACTTCAAACATATTAAAGGCTTGCCAAGGAAAATTGAAATTATATTTGTTTTATAAATATGTAAAAACCGTCGTTTTTTAAATAAATATATTATATTTACAATAGTTATTTTTATATTTTTCCTTCCTAAAATATGAATTATAATTTTTTATGTATTATAATAACTAAATTTTACATTTTTTCTTTTCATATGTTTTTTTGTTTTAAAATTACATTTTTCTTGTTTCCATACTATTTTTTTTTTCTTTTTGTAAGTATCTTAATATAGAAAATTTATATAATTTTAAAATGTTAATTAATCAGATGTCCAACTGTGATTAGTCGTTTTAAATTCCACGTGGACAGTTATAGAGGGAAAAAAAAATCTTGTTTGAACTATGGAGCTTCCGGTCAAAATGGATGAGAAGAAACGTTGCAGGAGCTCCGAAATACCAAGAACCCAAGCTATTTTAGGGTTACCGGTTTGACACGGTTTAATCCAATTTCACCAATCGGTTTGTTCCGGTTAAAATTAATAACGATGGTTAAATTGAACTATTTGTATTTTTTGAAGCTTACGATGATTATAAAATTTGCAGAGAGCTTTTCATGCAACAGCTTTAGAGCAATCATGGATCTGGATGGGCATGTTATTAGTTTTAGTTTTAGGGGCCAATATTTTAGTGTGAAGTTAAATTGGTCAAGTGGTAAACGTGTTTGGTTGGAACCTTTATTATCATCAGGACCGGCTCTGTTATGTTCAAATTTGCTTCTTTTACTACCAAAGTAAAGAGTGTCTTTCTACCAATTAGCCATTCATCACTTTTCTTGTAACTTCTTTGTCTATACTCTGTACTACTAAATTAAAAACTGGACAGCTTCATTGACGAACAGTAATAGAATTCAGACACAAAACTTACTGGTAGGCCAGAACATCAGAGTTTTTGTTGTTCTTTAGTTGTCTACATATTTGATTTAATGACAATGATTTCTAGGTTAAAACATATCAGAGTTTTTGCTGTACTTTTGTCGCAAACTTTGCTAATTCTAAATTTAACCAACCAGCTTTCTTATATACCTTTTCTGCATCCGTTACCACTTCAACGGACTCAATAGAGATTAGCGTGAACATAAGCAAACTCAAGAAACTTTCCATCTTTGAACTCTTTCTCCATAACTTTTTTTTATCAGCAAAGTGATAATGAACACCATCTCTTTCCATAGATCGGAGTTCGAGTTGTGTGGCTCAATGAAAACCCAAACATTGAAGAACTCCTTCATAAGCATTGATATAAGAGTTCCTTTTCCCACACCACAAAGACCGCTTATAACACATGATTATTGAAGATCCTTCTTTCAAAGCATTGGGAGTCTCATCCCATAAGATGACACCAGTTTTGTAGACTATTCCGCAAGCATAGAATGTGTCATAGTAACTTAAGAGTGCAAATAGGCTCTTTATTTGCACTCTTTGATCTCTCAAGTACCAATTGTCCATAGATGGTTATTTATACATAAATCACTACTAATTTAGATTCTAGAAACTTTCTTATTTGTCATGGTTTGTTAAGAAGAAATTTTCCTTTAGGTTATTAATCTTTTCCTTTTCATTTAAATTTTAACTTCCTCACACTTTGGAAATTTTCTTTTCCGTTGTTTGATTATATATTTTACAATTTAAAACATAAAACTTTTTAACATTTACTTAATTATTTTTTTTTGGTTATTGAAAATTTTCCTTTATTCAAGAAAAGTAAACGTGTCTACGTGAGTTTAATTTTTATGTTGACATGGACTATTTCTAATTATTTATTCTTTACAAATATAGAAATAAAAATTTCCAAAAAAATTTTTCCTTTTCCCAAACATCTTAATATAGAAAATATTATAATTTAAAAAATGTTAATTAACGTGGTGTGTAAAAATGTTAACCAACGAGGTGTCTAATCCCGATTAGTGGTTTAAAATTCCACGTGGACGGCCTGAGAAGCTTATAGCCTCGACTTTTATATAGTATAGATTTCCTAACAGATTATTTATGATATACGGGTGCTCTCGACTGATATAGTACATAATAACTTATTATGTCTTTTTCTATGAAATATTAAAATTGAATTACATCATAATATAAGTATATCAAATATTTAACTTTTGGAAGAACCAAATAGGTAAAATCTAGTTGTTTTGCGAGAGCCTAAAAATAACCACCAGTGGTCCAAACCCTTGGTTGGAAAATTGCTAAACGCTAGTCGGGCGCTCGGTATGGGCCTAGCGATTAATCAGAAAATCGGATTAAAATCGGAGATTAATCGGGGATTAGTTTTAAGGTTATTTTAATATTTTTAAAACATATTAATCCAATATTGTTTTCAAAATTGCAGAAAACACATAAAACTTTATTTTTGAGACAAATTTTTATGATTTTTATTGTAAATTTATGATTTTTATTAAAATTTGAATATAAGTTATTGTAAAACATCACAAACTCCCATTTTGAATGACTGAATAAAAAAAATAAAAAAAAATTTATACTTGCAAATCTAAAAATAATTGAGATATGTAAGATTAGTCGGGGAGTAATCGAATTAGGCGGAAAGTAATCGGATTAGGCGGAGAGTAATCGGATAACTGATTTCTTTAGGGAATTAGTCATTAATCGAGGCGGATAGGATGGACCTACCGATTAAGCGGAGATTAATTGGGCTAGGCGGGGATTTTTAGAATAGGGGTCCAAACAGAAGCCCCACTAAAACTTGCCTACAAGAAAAGGCCCATTAATTGGTTTTCATTAAACCGGTAACACTAATTAGTACTTTTAATCTTTTATATATATATATATATATTCCTTCCCACTGAAAACAGATAAAAACCTCAAGAAATCTTCACAAATTCTTCACTCTCCAAGAAAATGCCTTTCTCTTTCTTCTCCCGCAAGAAACCTTCTCGTCGCTTCAATGATTTCTACGACGACTGGTCCAAAACCCTAACCGAAAACTGCCTCCCTCTGCTCCGTCAATCACTTTCCTCCGCCGCTTCAGCTTCCGTCCTCTCCTCCAACGTAGACCTCGTCCTCCGTCACCTAGTCTTATACTACGAAACCCTAGATCTCGCCGCCGATCCAAACACCATCCCTTACCTTCTCTTCCCTTCATGGCGCAACTCTCTCGAGACTCCGTTTCTTTTCCTCGGCGATATCCATCCTTATCTCCTCACTAATCTCCTCCGTTCTTTCATCGATCGTGAGAATCAAGATTCCGACGAAGACGACGAGACTTCTCTTGATCTTATGAATCAACCGTTAAAGATGACGACGGCGTGGAAAGATCCTTCTGATGAATTGGTGAAAAGAATCGATCAGATTGAGTGTACGATGAGACTTATGGTTCCTGGTTTAATGGATCGTATGAGGAAAGCACAGAGAAGTTTCGTGGCTCGAGTTTCTGAGAATTGGGTCTTGTCGTATCAAGCGGGGAAGAAGAAGAAGCTCCCCGCGACGGCAGTGGTAGCTTCAACGTCGGTGGATGAAGCGGCCAAGGAAGAGATGGAAGAGCTTGTGAGTATTTTTGTTGATGCCAATCGTTTGAGGAAGAGTGTGATCATGGACATTGTTGGAGCTACGAGTGAGCATCAAGCGGCTCTGTTTCTTGAAGGTTTATGTCAGTTTCTTGCTGGGTTTAAAGATCAGGTTCTTCTTCAAGATTTCGAGATTCTTGCTTTGCCCAATTAAAAATCTCTGTTTTGTCAGATTAGGGTTTTGGGGGATTTGATCAGCAAGGTGATTGATTAGTTGTAGAAAAGAAGAATTTGTTTACAAATATGTGAATATGTACGGATTAAACTTCTTTAGGTTCAGTTTCTTCTTCTTGTTAGTTTGGTTTGATGCTAATAAAGTGTGGTTAAGAGTATCTTTGATAATGTTTTTGGCGATGGTTCTGTTTTTCTATTGCTCTTGAGTGAGAGGAAACAAATTCTATTGTTCCTTTTGAAACAAGCAATAAGAACAAAAGTAATTGGGGGAAATGATCCTTTTGTTTTTGTCAAATTCTTAATCACCTGAAATTGAGATTGTTATGCATTTAAGTTAACATTACTATTAAGGTAAATCTGTTTTCAATTCAATTTTTTCATTGTTTTGAATGAAACCGAAACAAAAAAAGTACCATTTGAGTATATTCAAATTTTTGGTTTTGGGAATATGTATCTCTTTACTTGAAAGAGTTTCAAAGAAATTAACCAGAATGGGTATTTATATTTCCAACTCGTCAATAGGCCCAAAAATGACATAGCTGAAAAGCATTATGTGGCCCAAGAAGAACCCCAATAGGCAGGCTTGTATTGAATTCTCTCATTTTTTTTGTAAAGAGGGTCAACCGATCAAGAGTCAAAATAAAAATTGTAATCATAGTTTAAACTTTAAAGTCATACTATAAAACTTACAAGAAACTCATTTAAACAGTTTTATTGTTCTGAAACGTAAATTTCTTCGCTAAATCACAACACGGCCAACTAAAAATCATCAACAACTATCTTCTAAAACAAATAAAGATTTGACAAACGTTGGCGTCGACCAACTAAGTATCGTAACCCCTAAAAATAAACGAGGGAGCTAATTAATTCGGTGTTATATACTGAGTAATAGAGACAAATCAACCGTTTTGGAAATCATCAAAAATACTCATGCAATTTATAAATAATATATACATGGCCTGCCTGGCCAACTGGTCACATAATATATAAAGATACATGACTTATTTTTTTAATTTTTTTTTTTTGTATGAGTGATACACGACTTATTCTTGAGGTTTTGTTGAATCAATAGTGCTTATCACTTCTTCCCATTTATTTAATGAGCAATATGCTTTAATTCCTCTATTGCTAGCTGGCAGTGTTGTACATGTGTATGTAAATTATTATTTTCATTAATTTGTGATTACATTCAATACTATACTAAAAATATTGTTCATATGAAATAATATTATTTAGTCGGTAGATTAATAAGAAATCATTTGTTGGTGACCAAGAAAAAAAGATAACTAATCATTTTTATAGGATTGTTAACCACTTGCAAAATATAAAATTTAAAACTAAATAATATTCACGTAACATGCCGTATACGTATATTTGAGTTATTTTATCTATTGGATCCCTAATATAGAGTCCTGTAATTAATTAAATTCCTTGGTCATTGAATCAAATTACATTTGTTATAATAAAGTAGTTTTTGTGTAAATGCTTTCATCATATATCGCATGATTTCTATTTGGTAGACACTTGAATATCTAATATGGTAGTTACAAACTTCATTACTATTCAAAACTATTTTCCGAGAGACCAAACATATAGTTTATATGTTGAATATTACATATACAATGTAGGGTAGTTTTCTGTATAATTTGTCACGTTCTGACATATAAATCGCAGTTAGTTGTTTGCTTACATTAGCAAATAGCAACAATCATTTTTTGTTCCATTATTTTATGATGGTTCGTAACAAATTTTTAGATTATTTTACAAAACTTGTCGCGTATTTAAGTAGCCGAATCATGTAATTTGAGACATTTATGATATAATACGATGTATGCATTGACTGTAAATATATGTACGCGTGAAGATACGTGGAGACACATATGCAGATGACTTATAACATTATATCTTATAACATTATATGTTAACATATAATGTTGTCTTATCATTATCACTCTGATAACATGTGGACTTTGACAAACTGAGCTTAGACTTAGTGGTCGGCACACATGTTTTTTCCATTATTGAATCAACATTTTCTTCACATCAAGCTGTCTTCACAGAAAATAGTTTTTTTTTCTACAAATTAAAAATGGTTAACTAGTACAAGCTATTTTTTTTTTATATACCCTAGCGGCTATCCGGTCGGTTTCGGTAGAAACGCACCGAGATGCTACATAGTAGACTTGTCCACCGTGCTAGACGGCTAGGCCCTTCGGGCTACCACTCTGCCTATCCCGAGTTTGGTGTGTCTCCCGACTAAATGTCAGGGGGTAGTCAGGCCGCCTGCATTACTGACTACCAGGTAAACCAATTTGGCCAAAGCCCAACTGACAGACTTCCCACATTATGTTGATAACAGCGGGAGAAGAAATCGAAGCCGGGGTAGAAGGAATTTCACCCAAACAACCAGGGCCCACCAACCACCCGCCCACCATCATGTGAGCGTATTTTCTTGATTATCATAATTTTGCAAAGACTATAAAGAGAGGAGAAAAGTGACCCTGATAGTCCTTTTAACCGTAGAATTACATTAGTATGTGGTAGGTTTATCACATTTGAACTTTGGAGTTTGGAATGAGTAACTAGTAATTACGGAGTTTGCCCATTTTGTGAAAGTTTCACCACTCAATCCATGTTTGGCTTGTTTTCTTATTTCATAATTCATAGTTTCATACACATATGTTGAACAGTTGTCAGAAAAATTTATTTAACCAAAACATTTTGTAATCAAATGGAGACTCGAGAAGGTATGAGGTTGAACAATCAGTCAAATGTTCTCTACCTTGGAACCTTGTCAATAATCCGAATTCATGAATTTGTCCTTTTTTTGTAAAGTGAAGTTGAGTCATCATGGCGTCAGCGTATGGTTGTGACTCGTCAGTCGTCATATATGCAGCGTAGGATACACGGTGAACCTTCCAAATCCGCTGCAAAAACAAAATCCAAAATCTACCTATTTTATTTATTTATTTTAACCTCTCATTGCTAATTTTTTTTTTTGAATAACTGCGGATCTCCCAAAAGTTTCCTAGGCCCAAAAACTAATCTTACGAAGCTGGCAATTACCCTATATAAACATGACAGTAGCCGTGCCTTGAATCCTGGCGACGGAAATCACAACTGTGACTCTTTTACCACTAGGCCACAAGGCCCGGTTTACTGATTTGCAACACTTAAAACGTTTATTTGTTGATTTTTATATAATTAATTCATATACGATGAATTTCTTTCTTCCAATTGGGGAAAAGGAAATTATATTTAGCTACATGGAAAATATGATTAAAAATAGATTATATTATGCTTTTTGTCATTTCCACCACCAAAAAGGCAACAAGCATGCAATGCTAAACAAAAGTGATCACGGAGAGCTAATCACAACCGTTTATTCAGTATTGAGAGGTCCACTTAGTCACTTACAACTTAAACTTTAGTTAGGTCATTAAATTATTATGGGTCCTGTGATCATGACTCTTCATCATCTTAACACCGTTAATAAACGTTAAATTAGCGTCATGTTCCACGTCATTCCGTCATCTTAATTAACGAATATCTTTTTATATTTTTGAGTAGAATAAATATCTTAATTTGGTTGAATGTCAATATAATTATCGAACATTGTAATTGTAACCAAAGGCAATGATAATCAAATAATGTGACATGGGAACTAGAAAAGCAAGTTCATCCTTTTTGGGCCCATTAAGGCCCAACTAACACGTGGTTACGTCACCATTACTAATTTAACACGTGGATCCTACGATATTTTCACTTCTCTTGACTCGTAGCCACGTGTCCGTTAAGGAACCAGCTAACAACTAACGTCCGCCTCACGGTTTTGTTTTGTTTTCTTATTAAGGTTTTGTTTTTTTTGTGAACACGGTTTCTAATTTGTCGTTAAATGTTTTTTTTTCTTTCTATATAATTATTCTAGAAAAGTGGAAATGCAGGGCTGCTTCACGCCGTTCAAAACCAAGATTAATTAACGACCTTTGGTCAAGTAAGAAATTAATTTTCTACACATTTGGTATAACACCAAAGATTTGAAACGTAAATGAATTGCAAAGTAATATACCTACTCGTTCAAAGATTCCACAAAAAACTAATTGAATTAAGAAAACAACCGAATATGACTTATGACGAGCTCGTTAATCATATACTATCTTATATTAAATATTAATTTTAGAAGCTAATAAGAAAGTTTTATAAGACGAAAAAAAAAAAAAAAAAAAAAAAGAAAGTTTTATAACGTGGTCTTGGTCGTCCGATGGCAAATTGGTAAATAAGTCAAACATGGGAGGTTTTTTCGGGATTCAAACAAAACAGCCTAATAACCTTGTTAACCACGTCTCTCTCTGTCTCTTTGAGAAACTGACATTTTAATTTTATTTTTATTTATTTGTAATGAATTTTTGAGAGCATCGGACTCTATAAATACGAAAGCCCATCTCCTTCATTTTCTCTCTTCTCCTCCTTCGCCTCCTCTTCCTAAATTCCGTATTTTTAGTGAGCTCTCGCAATTTTTAGGGTTTTTTTTTCGAAATAAGAAAAAAAAAAATCCCTAATCTCCCTCTTAGTGGTTTCTCCTTTCGAGATCCCTGAGATTCCGAGAAAATCTGCATTTTTTTCTCGAGATTCTCTAGCTCTGTTTTGTGTTTTACAGAGCAGCTCGTCTGATTCAGGTACGTTTTCTCTCAATCATATAGCGTTATGTTTCACATTTCTTTTAGTTTTTGGATCCCTTTTAGGTTTATTATTGAGATTTCTAGATCTCTCTGTTTTTGTTTTGTTGATTCGACAATTTTCTCCTTTTTGCTACATACTCTGTTCTTTCGTACTTTTGACCATTGGTATAGGCAAAACTCACCGAAATTGTCCCCTTTTCAGTGACTGTTTTTTATTATTATTATTCAGGTCGAAAGCTGAAATTAGGAACTAATTGGACATGTTTAGAATGGTTGATTTGTTAAAACGCGTGATTTGGTCAAATATTGAGTGAGTATGCGACAAGTTTTTTTGTCGGTAGCCACTTTAATAATAGTTCCTATAGAAGAAGGCAGTTTGAAAATATCGGTACTTGTCAAAATCAGTGGCTCCCTCCTTTTTCTTTATATCATTAAACTACAAGATGGGTAACACATGACTTTCTTTGTTATGTTCTGCTCTTTACTTTC